TTATTAACATTCTCTTTCCACGCGGCTTTAATTGCCATAAGCAGAGCTTAGAGGAATCGTACATAGTATGGTATTTTAGTCCTTGTGTTTTCGTGCCTACCTTCATGGGTGTCCCAGAAATGGATTTTTTTTTGTTTTGTTCTGGTTTTGTGTGTGTGTGTGTGTGTGTGTGTGTGTGTGTGTGTGTATGCGTGGGTGTGCATGTTTTCCAAAATCTGTCACTACTTAACTTGCAAACATTCTGGAGATGTTTTATTTTTGGTTTTGGTTTGGTTTGTTGTTTTGTGTCTCAGGTTTGCTTCGTTTGAAACTGCGGGTTGACTGCCGCGGTTTGGGTGCAGGAGGCTGAGGGTCGTCGTGAGATCTTTAAAGCAAAGCTGTCTCAACGCTGAGCGAATCAGAGGACAGAAGTGCTTCATTCTGAATTCAGTCTCGCTGTGATTCATGAAACACGGACAGATTACAGGCAAGAGTTATTAAATCCATGGAAACAAATGGGTGTGAATTTAAACGAGTTTCCAGAGGAGACACAAAGACAGGCCCTCTTCATCTGAGCGTCGCGAGCCTCCTTGTGTTACAGCGCGGTCCTCACTGCCTCTGATACCACGGTAACGCACAAATAATGCTGCGCCTCGTCAGCTGCTGATTTATCTTATTTCATAACAGACGAAATTAAAGAGGCGTAGCCTGAGTTTAAAGCTGCTTTGCAGGAAACTGTGAAAAAGACAAACAACAACAGCAGCAGCAGTAATGAAGGACTCGAATCACAAACATTATCATTAGTGGCCACTTCTCACTAAACACTGTTCACAGGAAGACCCCTTTGAGGATAAGACTCCCCCTGGAGGTCTACAGGAAGCAGCGCTAGCGCTAACAGCCAGCGAAGCTTCACGCAGTAAGGAGAGAGGGCCCATCTGTGAGAGCAGAACAGAGGAAGATGTACCTCTGGCCACTGCCAGTTCCCGGGAGTGAGCAGGCGCATCGGTCCTATCTCCAGTTGATTTTGATCACTCTAATGTGGACGAGCTATTCTTCGGGGGGCGGGTTCGGCGACGTGTGACTGAGAACGAGCTCTTTTGATCTGGTCCATCTGCAGACGATCATCTCCGAGGCCAACTCAATTAAAAGTTCCGTGTTCTGGTCCTTTCTGTCGGATCCTTCTGACAAAGCAATAACCCACGTGCACAGTCAGCCGTTAAATCACTGGCAGACAAAGTTAGCAGGGAATCAGGCTCATGGGACACAGCTGCAGATTACACTGTTTTTTATGTTTTTGCTATTAATATTGTGACAACCGTGGGTTATCATAAGCTGTCTGTGGGATGTCATGATCTCCCACTGATAGCTCATGACAGATATTGTGGATAACAATTGTGATGTAATGCCATCTTACTTCACAGCACACCTACTGACCACTGCTGTAGGAGCTGGCTCCATCCACCAGCACAATACCCGTAGAGTTAGTCTCACCTGCCTGTAATGCAGATTAGGTCAACCTTCACTTGTAATACTGAGGGGAAAAAAACTGAAAAATTGGATGTTTTATTGTAATTTTGATAGCGCTGTTACTATCTGTGGCCATGGCAGAATAATGTAGTTATAATGTAATCTATATTTCTGACTCATGCAGTGATTGGAACCCCTTACCTGGGGACTGCAGACTCCTGGATATTGGAACGAGCCCATGCTGTCTGCTTCTTTTGTTGTAGTAATACTTTACTCGCAGTAGAGGAAAGATGATTACTTTTCACACTTTCAGGAAAGGTGTTAAAAGGCTGGCTACATTCCTCCTCATGCTGAGTGCTTCGGAGCAGGGTTACCACAGGCACTAAAAATGTATGTAATGATTTTTTTTTTTTTTAAATAACTGAATGTGAATTTTCAGATTCAGAATCAGAGTCCTTTATTTGTAATGGCTAAAAGAAGCCCTACAGGAAATTTGTCTTCTAGGTGCAAACACATGTCAATAAAAAGTCATGCATAGCAAAAAACAGTGAATGCACACAAACCATATAAAACATTTAAAATGTAAGAACTAAGAAAAGTTCAAAATTCAAGTATTAACAGTTTAAAAACTCCATATAAAATTGGATGATGTGAGCTATATGGATCTGTTGTCGCAAGTGTTTCTGATTATAAACTAATTACAAGGTAGTAAGCAAAGACATCACAAGATATTTCCAGTTACAGAATGTGAAATTTAGACATTGATGTATTAAAAATGTTCTTCTCATACATTCAGGTTTGTTGTGGATATACAGGTGTACTGAACAGGAGAGATAGGTGTACAGGTTTACTGTACAGGAGAGGGAGATATACAGATGTACTGTACAAGAGAGGGAGGTGCACAGGTGCATTGTACAGGAGAGGTAGGTATACAGGTGTACAGTACAGGGGAGAGAGATATACAGGTGTGCTGTATAGAGGAGAGAGATATACAGGTGTATAAAGGTTCTCAGGGGCACATGGGTAATTTTCTCAATGATTTCATTCCAAGCAGTCGCATCATACAGGGTCAGCATAAACATCAGGGAAGATTCATGGTGTCTGATAAAGCTGCCAGGAGCAGCTCTTTTAAAGGCTTTTAACAGCCTGTTGGGCAGTGGTTCGATACTTCCCCTGTATCAGGGAGAGTGCAGCGGAGACACAGTCGCGGTAAATACCCTGATGAATAGAGATTCCTGCGGTCTGACAGGAAGGTGGAGTGGCTGCCATGCTGCTGATACAGGCCTGTTGACGATGGCTGTTACCGGCGTGACACTCGGTTCTGTATATCGACAGGAGGGGCCGTGTGGTCCTTCAGCCTCTCCAGCCTCCCATTATGCCACAGTTTGGGCCCAGTTTCGGTTGCTGTAGGATCACAGAAGTGTGCTTGTCACCTTTGCAATTTCAGGCACTGGAAGATACCACTGCCTGTGGGGGTGGGCAGGACAGTGCCATTGCAGAATGGGGGGAAGGGGAGGCGTCTGTCAGTGTGTGTGGTGCTGGCAGCTGAGGCCAGCTCAGCCAGGCTTCCCTGCGCCTCCAAATCAGCGTTTTACTCAGCGTTTACAGAGACGGTCGGGGGGAGGTTTATGGGACTGCGATGTACTGGCCTTGCTTTGTCCTGCTCTTCTCGTTGTGCTCTCCTCTCCTTCACCCTCCCTCTGGAATACACAGAAAGATCCCTAATTGAAAAACGACAGCATCACCTGGTCGATCGAGGCCTTTGATTCCAGACGCAGGGTTCGGAAAAATGCCTCACTCCACCGTTTTTTTTTCCCCTGAGGCCAAAGAGATGCTTTTTTTAAGTTCAGAGAGTTGTTGATGCCCTCTGTATCTGCAGCGTTACTCTTTGCCTACAGGAGTTCTCCTGCTGCCTTTCATGTCTTTATGATGCATTTATTCTCATGTGTTCTGATCCCTTTGTTCGTTTCACCACAAGAGAAAAAACTTTAAAAGTGCCATTTCTTTCTTTCTCACTCTCTCTTTCTTTCTCCCGCTCTCTCTCTCTCCTTGTTAAAACTGCCCGTGAAATGTGGAGCAGTTTATTTCAGTGAACCTCAAACATGGCCCCGGGATCCGAGGCCCTGAATGCGTTTAGCAGAGGCAGCTTTGGCAAAGGCTGTCTGCTTGAGAGAGATGGGTTTCAGGTGTTTATTTGTCGTATAGACCTCCCCCCAGCTATCTTTGTTTTTTTTTTTTTAGTTTTCTACAACAAAATGAAATGCTGTGTTTGAAAGACTGATACTGAGTGAGCCGCTGTGCTGAATGGGAAAGCTCCAGCTCTTGTGGTGTAAAATGCAGCAGCTTTAATAATCAATAATTCTGCCACAGGGCAGTGCCTTGCTGCTGTCGTATTGGGGCATTCCTTCCTGTGAGACAGGAGGCGTGTCACTTTAGGGGACCTTAGTTAACCCCTCCCCCTTTATCTCCTGATTGGTTGGTCCCCGGTCCACTCACTGATGCAGGCAGCCTCGGCAGGTGTCCCACCCTGACAGCGCTGTTCAGCTGTGAAATTTTACTGCACTATGCTGTATGCAGCAGAGTGGAGAAGCTGTTTCAGACTGGGCTGCTTTGTCTCTGTGTACCACCAAACAGTGAGGCTTTTTTTTTGGCTACATCGGGGGGAATACAACCCTAGAAATGATAGCATCGCTCACTCCGTCACTGACATGCTCCCTGTCTGACTGCCCCAGGAAGGCAAGAACAACGTTTTACCCATAAATGGTGAAGAGGCCAGTAGGTCCAGCTGTTTACGCAGTGCATTTGCGAGTCATGCTTTCTTTCTTGTCTAAATGTGTGAGGAAGACATGACGTATCCTCTACTGCACATCAGTTGAACAGACAGGAGTATAGCTGTGGAGTGAATGTTGTTTTTTAGCATGTACAGTGCATTGGTGGGGGTATTTGGTTTACCGTATGGCTTACGTTTTTTCTTTTTTCCTTTATGCATGTATAGTGTAGTGTTTGGTGGATTTGAAGATGCCGTATGGCTTATGTTTTGCAGACAGTGCTCTCAGTCCCCGGCTGGGTGCCTGCCAAAGTGCTCCTTCCAGACAGCAGCGATATGAGTCTCGTTAGCAGCGGCTGACGTCTTGTGGCCTGAATCTGTTTACAGTGAGCATGCAGTTCAGTGAGGAGGGCGGCTGATCTCAGGTCAGTGCAGGCCACAGCAGACCCGGTGCCCCGCCCTGTTAGCTGGTTCATTACTCTGAGAGCTGGGAGCGGGAGGTAAAAGGGCCCAGAGGCGGGGGGAAAAGTTCAGAGAGAAGTTCAGACATTGGCAGGAAGTGCTTTTACCCTCTGCAAACCTGCAGGACGAGGACCCTTCTGTGCGAAAGAGACATTTCAGTCCCAGGTCACAAGTGTTACGGCTCTACTTATACGATTCCTTCTTTCAGTTTTTTTTTGTTTTATTTTATTTCTCTTCAGTTTGTAACCCAGGGTGTTTATCTTGGTGTGTTCATTGTGAGATGTGCTCAGGGTTCAACAGCAAGATGGAATAGCCCTGTATGGGCTGCATGGTGCCACAGCGGTAAGGAGTAGGGCTCATAACCGAAAGGTTGCGGGTTCAATTCCCTGCTGGGGAACTGCTATTGTAGCCTTGGGCAAGGTGCTTAACCCACAATTTCCTCAGTACCTATCCAGCTGTATAACTGTATAAAAATTGTAAGAGGCTCTGGATAAGAGCATCTTCTAAATGACCATAATGTAATGAATGTAATGTACGTCACATGCTAAAAACAGAGATACCATGTGTGGACGATTTGGCTGCTCCACAGACGTGCGTGGCTTTTGTGGTACATTTCCTGTTCTGTATCTTTAGTATTTGCAGCATTCGGGTTCCATTTTGGTCCCTTTGATGGGAAAAGTGAGAGTGATTTGTTCTATTTAAACACTCACTTCCATGAAAAGATCAATCAGGCTAAATTAGTGCAGGGTACTGCTCAACAGACCACTCCGTTTCACAGAGGTGCTGATGGGAGCTGAAGTCCAGATCTAGTGTAAAGGCACTCCGTGTTGTGTGAGTTTGCACTTCATCTCCCATCAGCACCATTGACAAACATTGCTCAGCGTCTGCGCTTTGAATTGAGCCCAGCCCTGTAGTGGCTGGCACTAACATAGAAAAAACAATGTGTGTTCAGTGTAGATTTTCTTCACTATATCCATTCTCCCTTTAACTCCCCCTCTTCTCTGGGGTGTTGCTGGGGCAGCCTGAGGGGGGAGAGATTTGGGTCTCTGTAAAATCCATCCGCCTCTGTGGGTAAAGCATGCATGCACCTCGTCCCCGGGGCTGCCGGAGCTGTGTGTCTGTGAGACGGATGTGCTCAGTGTGTGAGACCCTCCGAGCCCCCGGGGGGCAGCGTACTGCATGCTCACCCGAGGTCCCCCCGCCCTCGTCCTCACACCCCCGGGTCTCCTGTTTGCTGTGTTTTCTCTGTGCCCGCTTCGTCCCTTTTGGTGAGTCACTCCCTCGCATTTATGAGCTGCCACAAGGAGGATACCTGATCTCGCCGTCCAGCAAGGTCACAGCGAGAGATCAACACCTGCGTTTCAGTCATGCTCTGAACAACCTCTGTATCGTGTAAGTGTTAGATCTGAGCTGGTGTTAAACTGAATCCAAGCCAGTGATTTTAATCCTAAGTGTTAAAAAGTGCAGGTCTTCCTTTGGAGTGGGGGTGTTGGAAGGAGAGGTGTTAAACTTTGTGTATGCCTTGTGCAAGCCGTCGCTGTTGCAGTCTGTAGCATCCAACATGTTCTGAGTACTGTTACCTCAGCTTCCACTGGGAGGGAAACGGTTTTTGTTTGCTTTCAGCTCTTTATTTGACAGTCCCTCTGTGTCACTCTGTAGGATACAGTCTAATGAGAGGAGATTTGGAGTGGGGCGAGCGAGAGGGAAAGCGAGGGAGACTATTAACAGAGTGCTTCTCTTCCTCTCGTTTGCTCTCTGCTCCCCTCTCCCTCGCCTCTGTGACGCCTCCTTCTCCCAGGTCATTAGCTGGAGATGCTTGATCACAAGGCCTTAAAATCCCCCAGACGCAGCCCGCAGCCCGAAGTCCAGCACGACACAAACTTCTCAGCTCCCCAGACTCTTAACGAGTTGTTTTTTTTTTTTTTTACCCAGAAAAGCGGCGCACATCTCTTTCTTGTCTCTCTAACAATGCTCTCTCGTTACTGAGGCCTCGGTTGTTTTTTTTTTTTATTTTGTTTTTTTTTTTTTGGCCTCGCTGAGAGCGAGTAAACATTTGAGCCAGGTACGCACTCACTGCTTTTATCTCTGCCATGCTCCTCTCTCTTCTTCCTCTCCTTCTCTCTCCTCCTCTCTCCCCTCCCACTCTAAACCCATAAAGCTCCCAGTTTGTCGGTGACCCCGGATGTCAGCTGTCAGATGTCAGGAGATTACACTGTAGTGGGGGTTCTTTCCGAACAGCCTGCTCAGAGGGCTCTGTGCAAATGAAGAACACATGCTGTGAAAGTGTGACCGTGACCCCCATCTCCCCCCCGGGTCACACCCCCCCCAGCTGTTCCACCCCATCAGCACATCAGCTCAGCTCCACCCTGGGAGAGAGAGTGTGGTGCTGGAGGGTCTGGGTGAGGCTGGCATCCCAGGGTCGTCCCCTGTCTCGGTGCGGCTCGGACAGGACGGTGCAGGCTGGACAGGTGCACCTGCGAGCCCGGAGGCGGGGTCGCAGTGTCCCACCTCTGTCCCACGCTGCCTCTGTGCTGGCCTCACCTGCACTGACGCAGTGCAGAGCCGTGTCACCTTGGCGGAGCGCGCCTCTCTCTCTCGCAGCGTGCGAGCGCCAGCGCTGCAGCCTGCGGCCCCCCGCCCCCTCCTGGCCCCCATGGCCCCCGCCCCCTCCTGGCCCCCCGTGGCCCCCCCGCCCCCCTCCTGGCCCCCGCGGCCCCACCCGGTCGGAGGAGGGGGCCCCTCTAACGCGTCACACGTGCGCAGCGGGTCCCCTTTCAGCCTAATGCGAGAAAGCCGCATGTGTGTGACGCACAAGCAAAATGCGATACACAGCTCCAGAGGGAGGAAGAGCCGGAAGCTGCTCTGCATTCAGAGCTGGTCCTGGGAGCAGAGGCTGAGACACAGAGAAGCAGAGAGAGAGAGAGAGAGAGAGAGAGGGAGAGAGAGAGAGAGAGAGAGAGAGAGAGAGAGAGAGAGAGAGAGAGGGAGGGAGGGAGAGAGAGAGAGAGAGAGGGAGAGGGAGGGAGGGGAGAGAGAGAGAGAGAGGGAGGGAGGGAGAGAGAGAGAGGGAGGGAGAGAGGAGGGAGGGAGGAGAGAGAGGGAGGGATGAGAGAGAGAGATGAGAGAGAGAGGGAGGGAGAGAGGGGAGGATGGATGGGAGGGGAGAGAGAGAGAGAGAGGGAGGGATGGAGAGAGAGAGAGAGGGAGGCTGGATGGGAGGGAGAGAGAGAGGGAGAGAGAAAGAGAGAGGGATGGATGGGAGGGAGAGAAAGAGAGAGGGCTGGATGGGAGAGGGAGAGAGAGAGAGAGAGAAAGAGAGAGGGATGGTAGGAGGCAGAGAGGTGTACACCTGCACACACATGGAGACACCCCCCCAGGCCACCCCCCACGCACCTGACATATGAGCCCATGAATCCTGATCCCTGTTTATCCCGCTGTGGAGCTGGGAGGGATTTCATCACAGTAACTGCCGCCTACAAGACGCCCGGACTCCTCTTCTTAATTGTTTCAATTTGCTCAATTACGTAGTCCTTTGGAGCCGTCATAATCAATTAACCTGTTCTGCGTGACGAGCCGGTTTGATTTTTGCATATTAAATTTCCTGTCTGCCCTATTCTAATGTGCTTAATTAGCCTCCGTTTATTCAGGAACAATTCTGTTAATTAACAGAGGTGGTGGAGTCATCTCCGGGTGTTATGCAGGTCTGAAGGGCTATTGGGAGTATGTGTCAGGTGAGAGTCAAAGCAAGGCGATCACACAAATTTTAATGCTAGTATAACACTGTAGGGTTATGTGACCAACATGAGGCTGTAGCATGTAGACAGTGTGATGGGCGTGACCCTAAAATGTTAAAACAGCAACTGCTGCATGTGGTCAGTGTTACGCTGACAGAAGGAAGATATTACAGGATATTGCATATGTATGCATTTGTATTTAAAAAGGATCCATCACGACTTGTGGAAATGCATATCCATAAAGAGCAATACGTTTTAGCCCGAAATACACGATTGAGCTCGTCCTGTGTTTACTGCAGGTAGTCTTGCAGGTTTAGGAGAATAGGAGGTAGCTATGGCAGCAGGGCAATGATATGGTTTGAAGAGGAGGGATCTGCGGCCATGACCTGTCAGCTGACTCAGATCTCATGAAGATCCTTTTGAACCAGCTTGCAACCTGGATACAGGAGAGGAAGCCTGGGTACCAGCCGAGAGCTGCAGACCACTCTGAAATAACCACATGGAATATATACGAAAAGATGGAAAAAAAAAATCTTTAAAAAGCTAAATGATGATCTGCAAGGTGGGAAACTATTGATTTGTTGAATTCATGATATCATATATGGTATCACAGTCAAGCTGTCTATGATCAAGCATTAATCATTCAGGTAGGTGATGATTTTAGTGTGATGGTGTTTGGTAAGAAACTCCTCTACCTGTTTAATTATGGTGTAGCTGTGTAAGTGGTGCAGAGCTTCCAGACCTTGTTCTGTATAAAGTATACAAATTCTGCCTTAACTTCTGTAATTATGTAAAAGAGCTGGAATTGGGGGGGAGGGCAAAAGTTATGGTTAACGAGGTAAGCAGTGTAATTACAGACATTGAGATCGTACTCAGTGCACCGCACAACAACAGGGGAGGGATGATGCTTGCACTGTGCAGTTAGCAGGTGTTAGAGACGATTAGCGTGAAGTGTCACCCAAGTGGATGTAAAAGAGCCGTGAGTTTGTCTGCTTTGATTACAGTTTTGAATAGCACAGTATGGCAGCCGACTGGCTGTTCCACTCGGATCCAGCATTTGATTCAAATCAAGGCCGAATTAGGACGGCTGTTTAGTTTGTCTCGGAAGCTCGTGCGAGTTTTGGAGCGGAACTCTTTAGCACGCCGTTGAGTCGTCATGCAACGATATCTCTCTGTCCAAAACTGCCGTCAATATCGTGTGAAAAACTGACACAGCACTGGAAAATCAGATTAGACGTGGTGGAAATGAGAAAAATGGAACAATTTAATATTCAGCGTGGATTTTTTTGTTTCATAATTAAGGGCTTTAAATATAGTGTGATAGGAAGACAAAGTCACCCTGAAAGCGTGCATTAGTGGTAAATGATTTCTGCAGCTGTCTGTTTCTTCTGTTCAAATCAAGCATGTCTTATTAAAAATAAAAAAGACCCCCACGCCACTCAGGGGATTAGAAAGTTGATGTGTTTAAGCATGAAATGAAGCCCGGCCCCACACGTATCTGAGATTTATGAATATTTCACCAAGCGAAGAATAAATATTTTCTGTGATTGTGTATGGAAATGTAAAGGATTGCTGGGAATCTTCGTGTTAATCCGCGGTAACCTGCCTGACACCTCATCACTGCAGAATAAAAAGCCGAATCCCTCCACTGGATTACAGATAA